CCAAAGAAGATGATATACAGGAGCTCAAAGGGAGTCATCAGAATCAAAGCATGCAGGTCAGTCTTTGCAGAAGAGAGATATCAAAGCAGATTTTAAAAGGCACATTCACACAGGAAATGTCAAGTTGAAATAAGATTATTTGGGGGGGGGGGGATAAGACAGGCAAAAGGGAAAAATTCCCACCCTGATTTTTGATTACAGTTTACAAAGAATTTTGCAGTTAATGCCAATAGAAAGGAAAGTTCTAAACACTTGCAAGTTCAGCAGAGACAAATCAGAGGGGGAAAAGAAAGGGGGGGACACATCCCAGGACCCAAATGAATCAGCTGAGACAAGCATGAAGGAAAGGGCTGAAGTTTGGCAGATCAGCAACAGCAGCAGCCTGGTTGAAAACATGGCAGCAAGTGCTTGAAGGGTTAAAAGTATATTGCACAGGTTAAAGGAAAACCAAACCATCAGAGCCACAGGATTAGTGCTGGCTAACTGTGTTGCAAAGTTTAAAGAGACAGTATCCCCTTGAAAGGGCTCGGAAAGGAAGTCTCTCCCTATTCCCCATCTTGCCCTGAAGCGTTAAGGCAATTTTGATTTAAGTAGCAGCCAATTTTAACATCCTTCCCTCCCTCTGGCGAAATATCCATACCTTCTTATCCCTGTAACTCACCTCCTCCTCCCATTCGAAAAGGAATACAAGCTCTCTTTTTAGTTACTGGAAGATTCAGACAAAGAAAGTCAGTCCAATACGCTCAGATTCTTGACTTAGGAACATCACTTATGGAGCCCCTTTAAAGACAACATAAAAGAAATTCCAAAGGCATTTCTCCTAAAACAAGAGATAGAAAAAGGGATACTGTCCCGTTCTTAACATTTCAGTTTACATGTGAAGGGGAGGGGAGATAATGCCTTAAAGCAGATGGAACTCAAGAAGTTCAAACACTCTTGAACATTGATTCAGAGCTAGAAATGTTTCAAACAATTATATACACACAAACGCCACAGCATAAAAAAGTCGATTTAACAAATAAGAGTTCAGACCAGGAGGAAAAAAAGAAGAATCTTTTGGGCCACAACAGATTTAACACATCCTGTCCCTTAATTACATGTGGGATGGGGAATCAGCAAAGCTTCTTAGCACTCTTAGTACAACTTCACCTTATTTCCCTACTCCCCTATGACCACATCCATGGTTCCATCCATGGCTGCACAAAACCCTGGCATGAGTGGTAACATTTCTAGATTCTGATCAGGAGAAAACTCTGGTGAGCATGAACCATGGCTCATCAGTATGACTGTGCCAAAGTTAACTGAATCTCAAGGCTCACTGTCAACCAACATGGATAATCTGTATTGCCAAACAAGACTGGTAACCAGTTTCAAATCATGGTCAAGAGAGAACTGTGGTGAGCATCAACCGTGGTTCACCAGGAAGCTGCATCAAAGTTAACCAAGGTTTAGGGCAGTGCCTTCTGATGCCCCAGCAAACCCGTCAGAGCTGCTGCCCAACTGACCAGAAGAGATATCAGAGCATCACTCAAGAGCCTTGGGTAGAGGCACATAGATAAAAGAGGCATATTGCAGGAGTGGGGTCAGTTACAGAGCCGAAGGGGAGTCGAACACTTGGCCTGTCCATTGGAAAGAGGAGCCACGTAGCTTTAGATGGCTGCCACTTCCCCATCACACTGCTAAGAAACAGCAGGAAGGGAGTCCTAAGACTCTGGTGAAGTGAACATCCCCGGGGGCTAAGAAGGTAGCCAGAGAGATGCAGAGGGCACAGAGGTGAGCAAACACCCAAATTCAGCAGTTTGGACTTGCCAGTGGGGAGATGAGCACACCTTCCGCTGAGAAGGCTGACTGTCATTCATCAGGGATTGGGGCTGTGTTCTCCAGGCCCCTGTAGAGCCCTGGCGGGGGGTGTTCTCACATGCTAATGCCAACCACAGACTGGCTCTTGACCAGCATTTCAAAACAGGGCTTGAAACTGGTTAAAAATATTGGTTAGGAGGAGTGAACCCCGGTAGGCACTGATTTTTTGGTGCAGCTGTTAGGTATGAACTATGGTTGAAAGTGGTGAGAGTCCATGTGCAGAGGCCGAGGGAAGAAAGGAAGCTACTCTGCAGAGAATCCTTTAAGTACACTGATCCCATAACTGTGATTAAAAGACAGGAGGCATTAATAGCTGAACAAGCCCTCTGGAAAATACTTTACACTTGGCACATTAGAAAGTAAGTGAAGATCTTGATTCACATTTTGAGGGGGGAAACTAGTAATAGTAATTACACTTCAAAGAGCAAAATATTTAACATTAAACACATGATCTATTTAAGCAGCCTTTAGTACCCAGAGCTCATCTCTTGATGCATCAAATGGCAATTGGCAACCTTTGAATTGCAACGGACAGACGTCCAACTCATCTCTTGGAAACAAGCAACACAAAGATCAAGCTACCACCAAGAAAGAGTAGAAAAATAGTAGGAAAAAAGTGTTTTAAAAACAAAAAGACCCCAAAAGTCAGAAGTAAAAACTTTTGAGAACACACATTTCAGTTATCAGAAAACTGAACAATCCACCAGATCGTGGAACCCACACCAAAGCATTTTAGCATAGGAAAGAAAAGGTAATTCTTCACCAAGAAGAATTATTCCTGATATTTTGCACCCTGTTAAGAGTAATTCTCCACATCTAAAGCCATAAATGGAACCGTTTTCCCTGTTCCCACTTTAAAATATAATGGAAAATTACAATACTGTAATTTGCTTTCTCCACTCAAGATACGGTGGAAGAAACAGCTAATGCAGAAATCAATGATGTTGTGCAGCAACAGTTTCCTGCCACAAACATAAAAGCTGCACAATACTTAAAAAAAAGAATACTATAGTTTTCCCATCTTTTTAAAAAGGCCACAAAATATTTGATTCAATGCTTTCTCCCCTCTATTGTACAGATTAGGCGGAGAAAAAACAAACAAAGAAAAACAGGACACTTGTGAAGTTTTAAGAAGCTGCAACCAGGTGGGAGATGACTGGCTTAGATTCTTTGACACATTAATTCCATACAGGAAATTAAAGAGAGAAGAATCCCAATTAAAATTAAATATGATTTCCTTGTTTTCACTTCCAAGACAGAAAAAAAAACCAACCTTGCTAATCCATAAGCACCTACTAACTTCTAATGCACTTCCAGTCCAGATGTCAACTCAGAACAGCACAACCCAAGTATGTTCCATCCACTATACAATCCTTCTGTGGTCGACTCTCTGCTAGGAGCATCTGCATGGTGCCAGAAACCATGTGGACAAGACCAATGAAATGAATTCCATGGGACTGCGCAACTGCCCACCCACAAGTGGCTGTGAGTCAGGGAGCCTACCACGGGAAAGAGGCTTCCCAGCCACTAGCAGCTCCTATGAATGTTCTACAGGGTTAATTTGGATGCTACTCTTCCAGACAACCAAGGCCATCATCTGTGCACTGAGACCGGCATGTTCTGTAAGATTAGAAAGGCTGCACTGGTGTACATTTTGATGCTAATGAACACCACTGGGAACCTTCCGTGAGGACTGCATACTGGGGTGAAAATGTACACCTGGGCGCAACCATTCTGTCCTGCAAAGCACACATCTCCATACACAAGTGTGCACTTGTTTGTACAAAAATAAGAGATATTGGCTGGCTGTTCTTCACACTAAACACAGTTTGGGGCTGTACTTCCAGAGCCGTGCTTCCATCTGTTTCTTTTCAGAAGACACAGCAAAGCACTCAGGAGTCACCCACATCTGACAATCTGTGCAATTATCATGCGGAAGCCACAATACTCAAGATTATTGCAGTGCAAAGACGGCACATGAGGCAGAATTTCAGAAAGGGGTACAGGGCCAGTGAGAGTGCAACACTGCTTCCAGCAAACACTCAGTACGGGTGTCAACTGCACAAACCCCCCTCCACGGTTAAGCAATTACCTCAACGCTGACATTAACTGCAGGTAAAGTTAGCTCGCATTTCAGTGCAGCTGAGATTTAGTACCGTTTCCTTGCGTACCTAGTTAAGCTGAAATCCTAACACTTGCTGTTAACACTGGAGCATCTCTCAACTGCAGGTTAAGGCAGGAGGACAGAACCTACTCCCAAAGAGAGAATGTGCAAACCCAACCTCACAGCCGAGACACAGAGCAAACTTTACATCTGCACTGGCGCTTGGCCCTCCAGAGACCTTTATCAGTCATTGTAGTTTCACAAGTATTCCAAACGGGATGAGCTTTCCAAGAACAGACCACAGCCTTTCTTTGGAAAGTGGAACAACCCTCCGCACAACAGAATCTGGCCAGAGCTAACTTGCAAGATCGTTAGGCTAAACCCTAGAAGGAAAAGGCAGCCTCTTCTTAGTAGCGGTTTATTTCCCACACCCTTGGGGCGCCGTATGCACTGGCAGAATACCTCCCCTACAAAGTGGGACTGCTAAGAGGCCATCAGTAACACCAAGTACCGTAGGGTCTGAAGTCCAAACAATCCCACCCAAAAACGACATAAGACAACGAAAAAGTCAGGTGTAACACTGCTCGGTTCAGGGGTTATCAGCTAGCCAAGAATACAGGTTCAGAGGCCTTCTCCCGCACGAGGATCGGCACGTAATACTGAAATTCAGCTTAAGGAATAACACTTTGGAACGCGTCTATTGCTTTAGTTACCAGAGCAATCTAACTAATTCCTCACCTGCTGCCGGCGGATGCTGGCCGCTAACGGTTGGCAAATCCAAAGAGCTATCAGACATGACATGCTTAAGGTCTCCTCCCACGTCCGCCAGTTTCATGTCAAACTGGACAGAGAGTGCATCTTCAGAGTCTTCCTTGCCCACGCTGCTGCCCCCTATGGACGGGAGGTCCAGAGACTTGACGGAGGCAGAGTCCTCTTTGGCGTGCTTGAAAGCTGCCAGTTTGTCAACCAGGGATTTGTCAGAACTGGAGGAAAATTTGTTGGAATGGAAGTCGGCAAAGTCGTCTTCACTCTTTGTGGACGAAGGGGTGTGGTCTTTTGTTTCTTCAAAGCCTAACCCAGAGCCATCCAGAGAGAGCTGTTTGAAGATGTCATACTTTGTGGGGGCAGCTGAGGAGGGAGGGCTCTGCCCACTCTTTGCAGTCGGAGGGACAGGGCTGGCATCCGGCTTGAAACCGCTGGCTGTTTCGCCTGGCTTCTGCTCTCTGCAGCTGGCGCTGTTGTTGAAAGCCATGAAATCTGCAAATTCATCCTGAGCGTGGGCTGGGGGACAACTTGGTAGCCCCCCAAAAAGGTTGAAGTCGGCAAAGTCGTTGGCTAAGATGGAGCTATTGCTGGGCATTGGCAAAGTGGTGGTGGAGGTGGACGTTGGGGGTGGTGGCACAGGGAAAGACGCTGGCTTCAGTGAATTGTAAGAGACTGGAAACTGAAGAGACCTGTTCTCTCCAGCAGAGGCTGAGGAAAACAGACTCAAGTCAGCTAGATTCAGAGAAGGTTTTGCTTGTCGTTGCTGCTTTGATTGTGCAGGTAGAGAGGAGAAAGGTGCAGGAAACAATTTATCTTTTGTAGGTGGGTCTAGTGGTGAGATGCTGTCGGCGGTTTTGAAATCCGTGAAGCCGTCATCTGCCCCGGCCGATTTGAATTCTGCAAAGCTGTCTCCTGAAGGGCAGAGAGAGAAAAGGAGATGTGATGGGAAGATTTTTTTTGTTTTTTTGAGGATGACACTCATTCAAAGAACAAATACGCTGATTCACAGAAATACCAAAAATGGCTTTTAAGTGTATTAATTTGATTTGCTGTCCATCCCACCTCTTGCCCAATTTTCAACTCAAGTCTTTTTTTAAACGTAGGAAGACATCTAGCACAGTCAAAGTCTAGCACTTCTAAATTCCATCGTATTCAGTGGGTGAGACTTAAAGCATGTACTTACATTTCCCATTAAAAACAGAGTAACCCAGAATGCCCAGTTTTACAGAGGCATCACCCTGTACAAATGAAAATTAACTTCCTGTACTGGAGACAATTTAACTTCCATATGCAAAGAAAAGTAAGTTCAGTTACAGAAGACATTTGCTGTACACGGTTGGCTGCTCTGGTTGCACTTGGGGGTATCCCAAAATAAGCATAAGTATTGGGGAGCCAGCCACTGTAAGAGTAAAGTAATAATGCTATATTATCTATATTTCTAATCTCCTCTCCACATTGTAGCTCCCTGACACCTCTTGTGGTCTGTTACCTGATATTTTACTACAGTTTGATTTTGTTTATCGGTATGTTTTAAGGCTTTTTAAAACAGGACATTTTTGTATTTGTATGATTTTTAAAGCTATTATTTCACAATTTGTCTGCTGCTTCAGAACTATGGTATAAAGCGATATTAGAGTACTGCATATAAAGAAATACTGGTCCAAGACATGGTCCATTTATTTCAAATGGTTAAATTCTAAATGGAGTATCACTTGGTATTTCTCTGTAGTGTTCTCTCTAGAACTTGAGAATGGATGCACAATTCAGCACCCTGAGAATCTGTTGGTTTTTTATCTCACTCTCTTTTTTTCACAAAAAAAAGCAAGCTTCTATTTTAGAGTAGCAAAATGCAAGGTAATGTCCAGGGAAACCTAAAAGCAAAGGTAAGTGGAGTTTCAATGCCTGGAACACTCCTGGCTTGCTGCTTCTGTTACCTAAAATTATACAGAATAGATCAGATGCAGAACTTAGGTTACCACAGAGATACGTTGTTGATTTACTTGTTTGAAACACAGCAGCGTAGAATACAGGCCACCTCTAAAAGTAACAGTACTTTGGGGGACAGAATCCAGCACAGAATTAAGTACATTTAGGGAGTGCCTCCCCCCTCCGCAAAGGTGGGGGAGGCTCTCCTGCCTGCCTGCCAGCCAGGCACTCCCCCCCCCTCAGGGCAACAACTTCCCTCCCTCCTTGGCAATGGGGCCAGACCCTCCCCTGCCTGCCTCCAGCTTTGTAGCTACATTTCCTCTCAGCCCAACAGTTGAGAAGGATTTACACAGAACCAAGCAAGTTGACTGTGAAAATCTATGCTGGCAGCAGAAGTGATCAGAAATTATTCTTTCTTAACAAGAACATCAGCATGGTCCAGTGGGTTAAGGGCACTATGCTAGGATCAGGAAACCCTGCATTTGAATGTTCACTCTTCCATGACGCTTACTAAGGTTGCAATCCTAAGCATGCTTTCCTAAAAGTAGGCCCCACTGAATAAAATGGGACAGACATCTGAGCAGGCCTGGTTAGGACCATTCCCTAAATGAGTTTGGGCCCATAATGGCCCTCCAGCCTAACCTGCCTCACAGGATGGTTCTGAGGTTTAAATGGGGAAGGGGAGAGCCACACCCATTGGCAGTGAGCTCCTTGGAAGGGGGCTGGGATTAAAAAAATGAGACAGGCAGATGGACAACCAGGAGACTTGGACCAATGCAGAAGTTTATAGCTTTGTGGAGCAGGGCTGTACGTGTATTGGATCCCCCAGAAATTTCTGCTGACAGAAAGGAATTCTGTTGCAGAGTGGGGCTTAATTGCCTCTTCCCAGTCCAGTCCTGAATGCCCCCTGAAATGATACTCATGAAGGGCAGGGGAACCCCCTGAAGAACAGGAGGGGGAAATCAGAGAAAATGGTGTCCCCTTCTTTCCAAGTGTGGAAACCCTCCACCAAATCCAATCCGAATATTCCAGTGAGGAAATGTCAAATATACACTGCATGGGAGAAACCAGTGTGGTGCTGTGTTGTACTTGGTTCAAGGAGACCTGGGTGGGCGTGAATTCCCACTTTACCCAAGGTCACCCAGTCCAGTTTCTAGCCATCATTCCCTCTCAACTACAGAGACGAATGTGCAGACAGGACTCAATGCTGTAGGCTGTCTTGCTTTCAGAAAAGAGATGCAGCAAGGATCAATGCAACACGCCTCCCAGGCAAAAGTTGCATGTTTCGAGAAATTGTTCAGGCAAACCATTTCTCCTGGAACCAAAGCTCACAATGCTACAGTGCACAAGTCAATAAAATACTGTAGAATCCTTCTGCATATTCAACTCTGTAGTTGTGGACTTCCCTAAAAATATATATATTGTTCTTTATGTCATTGTTATCAGTGTACTATAATTAATAGGTTGCACTAGGGTCTCTACTGTATAAGTATATTATTTAATCAAATATATGAAGTTATAGTAGAATATCAGAACTGTGTGTTTTGTTTGAACACAGTGTTTTTCTGTGTTTACTCAACCTTGCCTTGTTTCTTGTGTGTTTGTTATCATTGCCTCTCAGCCTAACCTACCCTCAACATAGTTTTTAGGAGGATGAAGCGAGGGGTGCACGTGGCTCTGAGTTTCTCTGTTGGTCAGATAAAAAGGTGACGACATGTGGAGGGGACACAGCCATTACAGCGGCAGGTCTGGTAGGGGGCAGCTGGCTTTGAGCAGATCCACTTGTTGGCTCTACAAAAGCTGTACCGAGCTTTTTATTCCATGACCTGAATGCTTCACTTCTTCTACTACTTTTTGCACTAGAGATTGTGGGTACCAACCAGTGTTCCCTCTAAGCTGAGTTAGTGTGAGCTAGCTCACAGTTTTTTAGACTCTGGCTCATGCATTTTTGTCTTAGCTCAGAAAGGAGGGCTCCAGAGCAAACTGATTTATGCAGCAGCCAAATTGCTTGCACACAACTTTAATGCCAGTAGCTCACAAAGTTGAATTTTTGCTCACAAGACCCCACAGCTTAGAGGGATGATTGGTACCGACCCCCAAATATCTGTTTTGAAGAGGAAGAGGAAGAGGAAGAAGAAGAGGAGGAGGAAGAGGAGGAGGAAGAGGAGGAAGAAGAAGAGGAGGAGGAGGAGATTGGATTTATACCCCGCCCTTCACTACCCAAAGGAGTCTCAGAGCAGCTTACAAACTCCTTTCCCTTCCCTTCCCTACAACAGACACCCTGTGAGGTAGGTGGGGCTGAGAGAGCTCTGATAGAAACTGCTCTTTTTCAAGAACAGCTGTGCCAGAACTATGGCTTGGTCAAGGTCATCTAGCAGGTGCAAGTGGAGGAGTGGGGAATCAAACCTGATTCTCCCAGATTAGAGTCCACGCACTTAACCACTACACCAAACTGGCTCTCGAGGAGAGAACTACTGCCTGGACATTCAGCCTGTCCCAGAAATATCACACTGCAGGGACCTAATGGCTGAATGTGTCGCATGTGTCAATGCCTCTGTTTCAAAAGGTCTGTTTCCATCTACCTGCCTAAGATAAAGAGGTGGCCTACGAAATGTCTTTAATTGCTGTTTGCCACTTAAAAAATTCAATATGGCTTTGTCTCCAGTCAATAGCTGTTCTTCACATGGGTGACTGCCTGATCTGAGTGCTGCGCGTTAAACCTGCAAGCGGACACTTGGGCTTTCTCAATTTTTTATGTCGAATTGACACTTATTTTAGGTATGAGCTTTCGTGTGCAAGGCCACTGGACTCTAAATTTGTTCTACTGCTTTAGACCAACACAGCTGACTACCTGGATCTGACTGTTATTTTGTAATTCACTGTTACCATTTTTCTAGCAATTCTAACAATTCATACCTCTCATAGTGTATGAACTGCACTTTTACCTGTTGAAATTGGACAGGTGGAAATACCTGTTAACATCGTGATTAACCCATTCACCAGCTTGATGTATTTAGAAAGAAGCTGCTGTTAAAAATGTGCATCTTCATCCCTTCAAAAGTGCACAGATTCAAAACACATATGCAGGCAGCCTTATACCAAGTCAGACCGTCGGCCGATCTTGCTCAGTGCAGTCAACATGGACTGGCAACGGCAGTTCAGGCTCAAGGGCAGGGGAAAGTCTTTCCTGTCATCTACTACCAGAGACCTTTGACTTTCCCCTGACCTCTTAGACATAGCCAGGCAGGCCATGAATCTATCTAACTTTACTATTTACAGACTGGCAGCAGCTCTCCAGGGCCTGAAGCAGACAGAAGGCCTTCCCAGGGGGACCTACTACTTACGTCTCTTTAAGTGGACAGTAAACCTGGGACCCTCTGCATGGAGAGTACCTGTTCTAGAACGAAGCTACAGTTCCACGTACAACACTGACGCCCTCTGTCTCCACAAGCACACTTCCCTCATATGACCACCACCAAAATCAAGTCAGTTTCACAAACTCTATGGCAAGTAACAGGCCCATAGCCAGGATTTTGTTTGTTTGTTTGGGGAGGTATTTAATTTTTTAAGGCAGTTAATATTACAGTTAATTAAATCCATCTGAATGCCTGTCTTTAAAAGGGGAGCCTGTTTCTAGCCCTTCCTTTCAAGGGACAGGGCAGCAAGCGTGTCAGTTCCAAGGGGAAAAAAACAGCTCAGGGGGCATTTAATTGCCTTCAGAAGGCAAATTCATTTGCATGTTTCCCAAAGGCTCATGGGAATGCCTTTGAAAGACTCGCCATGACCTGGGTGGCATACAGCAAGACTGGGCTGGCAGAAAGGGGGACTGTTGGAGATGTACTGAAGGTGCCACTCTTGAGTGCCCTTCTAAGCTGTCTTGCCCTGTGGAAGGCAATTGAATGCCCTCTGAGCTGTCTTTTCCCAGGTCCCATGATGACCCCTCAACTTCATAGCGGGAAGGAGGGGGAAGCACAAGGGGAAGCTGTGGCACTCTCAGTGTGGGGGTCTCTCCTCAAAAATAAGGTTTCTGGCATGATTATTTGTGGGGCCGGGGCTTTTTAATTAAGGGGGCAGGGCCCCAAAATGTCCCATTGTAGCTACGGGCCTGGCAAGTAAACAAAAACAGCCAGTCACTGTTTCAGTAGGATTTAAACTGTAACAAAACTATTGATGGCATACTGAGCACAACTCCCAATTTTGGTGGATTAGATTATCCCTTGAAGCAGTCTGTGAAACTGACGTTCACCAAAACCAAGGCACAGCACAGCAAACTTGACTTACTGATGGACTGCACGCTTTTCCATTAGAAATGCAAGCTGGTGAGGGGGTTAAAAACGACAAGACGGGCAATTCAAAAACCAATTTCTCTTTCTGGCAGTCAGTGGAAACAGAGGGAGCTTCTGTTTCCTGTTCTTCTGGGCAAGTCAAGCACTGCCTGCCAAGCACCTTTTCTCAATTTCTTTTTTGCTGCTGTTTTTCTTCATGAGGAGGCAGTGGGGCACCACGGCTAGGAGAACAAGCCACTTCAACTGTGATTTCCATCACAAACTCATCGAGTGGCCTTCTGTGAGCTGCAGCCTCCCCTTTGTCACAACTTGGGGATCGTTTGCTTTCCCTCACGGCCGTTGTAACAAGAAGAGAATCTTTCGGAACCTCAAAAGGGTTCAATATGATCCTCATTTCCTCCCCGTTACAGCTCTGTCTATGACCTGTCTGCCTGGAGGTTCTTCTTAATCATTTTGCCCTGGGATGCAGGGGTGGGGGGAGATCATCCAGTCCACAGGTTCCTCAGCTGCTTCTCCCAGAAATGCGGCCAGTGGTTCTCTCTCCCCTTCAGGTAGTGGCATAATCCAGACACAGTGACAAAAGGCGGGCTTGCTGCTACATGAATGAGCCCTCCACCCCCCAACCCTGCACCTGGCACGGCAAGCCAATTAGAGGTCTTCTATGCACTGAGCCATATTTGCTTCTCATGTCTGCACTGGTAAATGACAGCTTCAAACCCCAACATGGCCACAGACACACGTTAGAGAAATGGACGATTTAATCAAAAGACTAAAATTGGGGAAGTCTCCAGATCAGGACCTTTGTCCCGTGGAGTTACTTAAAGCGAATCCTATTTGGTGGGCCAAAATCCTTGCTCACAAATAAATAATACGGGCATAATGCTTTTTAAAAAATCTGGAAAATGACCACTTGCCCTTTGCCTTCACACCAGGCCTCTGAAGAGGGGCTTCTGGAAACCTGGTTCACAGGGCAATCACAAGCCCCAGGGTGCTGGGTCGCACAGCTCTCATTAGCAGGCCCCGTGCCGCGTGGGGAGGAGGGTGCCTGAGAGCCAGGGGATCCCCACCCGATCCCGGCTCATTCAAGGCACAGCAAACCACGGTTTCTTGTTACCTCTCAACCAAATTATACTATAAAGGGACTGAGGGTAGAAAGCATGTCCCATCTCCAGGCTGTCCTAGGAAACCGATCTTCTTGGACTATGGGTATGCCAAATCTCAAGTTTCTGGATAGCGGGGGTGGACACAAGTCAGGATCTATGGAGACTGTGCCAGTTATTACAGCTCTTGACTGTTCTCCAGATTGAGTGATCAGGACTGAGGCGCAAGAGGAGGAACCTTCTCTTGTGCCATTTTCTCTACCAGGAAGGGTGCCTGGGAACCACTACTGTAGAAAATAAAACCACCTACATGTGAAACAGCGACTAGAGGCCAAAGATACGGCTTGCTATTTATTTATTTATTTGATTTTTACCTCGCCCTCCCCGCCGAGGCAGGCTCAGGGCGGCTTACATAAGAGAACAATGGGTAAAACAGCAATATAAATATCAACATCTCCAATCATTAAATGAATTTCAGACTTCCTGTAACAGTTGACCACCTGTACCCTTCCTCTGCTCATTCCTAGCCCCCAACCCCCTCCAGAACTTCCAGAGGTTCCTGACCTTTATTTATCTAACATATCTGCATGCTGCCTTTCTCTCAAAGGGTGCAAGGACTACGCACCATTCTGATGCTTTGAACAGGGGTGCACCATTTGTTGAAAAAAATCCTACCCCAAATATATTTCCGTCCCAGCCCCTGTGTCAGTGGGATTTTGCCAGTCTGTAGAGAGCACTAAAACAGTCTGACAAATGTAACTAAAGGGGGAATAAATCAAGGATGCACGCTTTGGTATGCTTACCTAGAGGTTTACTCTCAGACGGCTGCTCCAGCTCTCGAAAAGCACTGTATTTGTCTCCGTAATCTACTGTGCATGTAATTTAAGACATAAATTTAGTTACAATAAGGTTAAATCAGACTGCAATCAGAAAAAAGCGTGGGTTCAAGAGACAAGAAGTACCTATTACCTTGCAGTGTAAACATTTTTGCAATGGCTGTTAGCCAGCATTTGAAGGCATTACCAAACGAGGAACCAGGGGTCATTTCCTGCAGGAGAGCACAGGAGTGGAGCTCCGGCAGTAAAAAGCCCAGGGGGCGGGCACATGCAACAAGCCCCGACCCTGCTCCCAGCAGCCCCGGACCACGAGGAGCAAGAAGCAGCCAGGTAAGTTGCAGAGTCCCTCCAAAGATAGCAATCCAAAACAGTCCTGTGGCAGCATTATTCAGGTTCAAGCTCTCCCTCCTCTGTGAGGGCAGATCTGTGTGGGAACCCTCCCCAATAGCTAGCAATCCAAAACAGTCCAGTGGAGCCTGAGCAGTGGGTGTTGCCTTCTGACACACTTCCGGTGATGTCAGGGGGTCTGGCATATGCAAATAAGTTATGCTAACGAGTTATGCTAATGAGCTCCTGCACCTCTTTTTCTATGAAATGACCACTGCTAGGAACTGTATGGCTGAAGTATCTCATTGTCAGTGAGATCCCCCGCCCCTCCACTGAACCTAATTTAAGCTCTCCCTGATTTTCCTCCTACAGACAGAGTCCTCCCATGAGGTTAAGTGAGGCGACTGTCTCAAGAAGCAGACTAGGGAAAGACACACAGTCCTGATCCAAAACCGACTAGAATGCTTTCCCTGGCACAAGCCCAACTGAAACAGAACTGCGCAAGAGGGTGCCTCATACGGAAGCTCCCTTGCCGTGGGGCTTGCAAAGCTCTTCCCCATGGACTCAGCGGCTAAACAGAACCTCCAGCTCCAGAGGCAGTAGAGCACTGAATAGTAGTTGCTGGAAATGAGGAGGCAACAATGGTGGGGCTCTTGCCTGCACAGCATCTTGGTGGATTACTCAGAACCATCTGGCTGGTCACCCGAGGGGTGGGGGTGGCGGCAAGATGCTGGCCATGACCAGTCTTTGCTCTCAATCAGGAGAACTCTTCTTACAGCCTCAGGCACAAAAGCATTCTGGGACAGCACTGGCTCTACAGTGTCCCTGCTTCCAAAGTGTTGCTTCTGTGCCTCTGGAATCTTTTTGCAAGTGGGCTTCTTTTTTGGACTCCTGGCCTTTGTTGTCCACCCTACTCTCCCCCCCCCCCCCCAGTTGAACTGCGAGTTCTCTGGGGCAGGGATCTGACTTTTCTTGCTTAGGCTGCTCTGTCAGATGCCTCATGAAAGTTTGCACCATCACACTACAACTACTGGTATCATTACTAACCTGCTGCCACGTGGGAACTAAGAGAATAAGCTACAAACCAGGAAGTCTGAGGTTCAAATCTTGCCTCAGCCAGGAACTCACCGGGGCCTTGAATGGGGTGTTTGCCCACACTCGGGGGGGGGGGGAATTGGGGGGGGGGGGGGGGGTAACAAATACTTACCTACCTTGCAGAGCTGTTGTAAGCATAACAAGATAATCAGCTGGACGCCGTGGATGTGTTCCGCTAGCGGAGGCTCTTTCCTCCTGTGGAAAGAGCCTTCCACAATGCAAGATTCTCCAACAGGATGGCATCAGGAGGTGCTCCATCTGCCAGAGGAGAGCGCCTCTGCTAGCAGAACAGATTTTCAGGATCCAGCACCGTATACGAGAAGTGCTTTTGGACAGTTGACAGCACGGCATGCAACCGCAGCAACAGAAAGTTTAGCGGCCTGGTGGCCGACAGTCCCAAATAGTTTAGAACAGGGGTCCCCAATGTGGTGTCCATGGGTGCCGTGGTGCCTGCCTGCCAACACCTTTCCTAGTGTATGCCAAACGTTTTTAGAAAGTGGGTGGGGCTTTCACCCAGCAAGGTGTCTGATTGGCCACTGGAGATTTGATTAGCAGTGCCCGTTTTTTAAAAAAAGGTTGCTTTGGCGGCAGCTGCTATCGTAGCACAGGCATCTTCACTGTGTGGCTGAAGGTAAGCTGCGGCAGCTGTTTTGTGGCTGTGCCCACCATGCTGCATCAGAATTCCAAAGGTGTCCACAGGCTCAAAGAGGCTGAGGACCCCTGGTTTAGGATTTGCACCCTGTGAGACACAGGTCCAATCTGCATTGGTCTTTCCTGCCACTGTGCCAATGATCTCACATCGTCTCACAAATTTCTGCCTGCATTTCATGCTGCATCCGCTCTCCTGCTGTTTCATCTTAGCACTGGAGGTCTGTATCATTTTATTGCCATTTACTCGTGACTCCAAGGTCATTACAGCGTCCCACCGTGTTATTTGGATTTGGTTTTAAGGTGGTTTAATTGCTCCTCCCTACCCCCAAGCCACTGTGAGCGACAAGCGGGCAACTGGAGCCGAATACCCCCCCCCCCCCATATATTTTCTAAGGAGATATACAAATTGTCACAAAAGAAACAAGTTAGCTGAAAACCCAGTCGTCTGCGTTTAAAAGCAGTCGGGAAACATTTTTCTGCAATCATATTTTTTTGGGGGGGTGGGCTAGAAGCACACCCTCCCTTGAACCATTTGTTATTTCTTGGGGCTGTCCCCAGAACACTCTGCATGGCAACCACCAGGTGTTTTGTGTTTTTTACCCAGCTCGTTCCGTCTTTCCTGCCCCCCCCTCCACCAGGTCACCCCCCTTTACTTTACACCCCCGGAGGCTGCTCCCCCACCCTCGTGCACTCTTCCCTCTGTCCTGATGCAGACGGCGAGCTTTTTATACTGAGCCAAATGGAAGGCAAAGGAAGCTGGTGCCACAGCAGAATGAAACAGCTTTACATAGCAAATGCAGATTGGGCCACTGAATTAAGACCACAGGAGAGGTCCTCATGACTGTCCCATCAACCAAAGAAGTTCACCTGGGTACAACAGAGGGGGCCTTTTGGGTGGCAGCCTCAAGATTACGGAACAAACTCCTTGGGAAGACGCACCTGGCCTGGCACACTCACTTTCAGTCTTCAGGAGACAGGTGAAGACAGTTTTATTTAGAACTACTTTTGATTAGTTTTGTATTTACTGACAGTCCTAATTGTGAATTTAAATGGTGGCATTTTACGTATTTTTTGTATCCGTTGTTTTTCTTTACATTGTAAACTGCCTTGAGTCCCACAGAGTAGGAAGGTGGCTAATGAATTTTTAAATAAAATAATTAAAAAAAATTAGACAGTTGCTTTTACCTCCAAGTGAAGCCGGGCTTTCAGCAGGCTTGTCAGATGCAATCCCTTTAAAAACAGCGTACTTATCCACAGCAGAAGGCGCTTTTGGGCCAGACAGAGGTATCAGCATCGGAGGAGCACTAAACAAAAGGAGAAGAAGGCTGTCTCAGTGCAAAGTTCTTGCTTTGTAAAAACAGCAACTGTGGGCATCAGTCAACCAGAGTCGAATTTTCAAGTAAGAGGATGGGAACAAATTGGCGAAACAGATTTAGACTGGAGACAGCTTGTCGTGAGGCCACTTCTGTGACACTGAGATCACAAGCCAATAATAAATAATAATTATTATCGTATGGCATTGTGTGTGGAATAGCCAGGAGTTCCCAGAGGAATGATTGGCTGCTGAAGAAACAGGTTGCTTACCTGTAACTGATGATCTTCGAGTGATCATCTGTGCATTCACACCCATGGGATCTAGTGCACACGCGCTGGATCGATCGGCATTGTAGCATGCTCTTAACGGATTTTCGCGCCCAGACGTCGGGCATGCACAGGAACCCCACCATGCATGCCCAGAGGGGTGGGTGCGGACATCCCGCCAGTTCCTTCAAACCGCCGCGAATAAACCCCTATGAAAAATGTAGACGCTGACAGCAGCAGAGAAGGCGGATGGGTGGTGTGAATGCACAGATGACCACTTGAAGATCATCAGTTACAGGTAAGCAACCTGTTTATCTTCAACGTGGTCTCTGTGCTTCACACCCATAGGAGATTAGCGAGCAGTGGCCTACCTGGAGGAGGGTGCTGCCAGGTCCTTACTGCGGAGAAGGGGTCCGCAGAATCATCAGCGACAGGGCTGATGGGAGGGGTGGATGGTGAGGTGGAAGTACGCGTCTTGGAGGTCGAGGGTGGCCATCCAGACGTCTTTCTGGAGAAGTGGTATAATTTGCTGCAAGGACACCATGTGGAAGTGGTGGTAGGTCACAAAGTAGTTCAGCGCCCTTAGATCTAATATTGGTCGAATGCCTCCATCTCGCTTTGGAACTGTGAAATAGTGGGAATAGAATCTCTTCCTGTGCAGAGGAGGTGGTACCTGCTTGATGGCTCCTTTGTGCAGAAGGACAGACACTTCTTCCAGGAGAGGTGGGGAAGGGGGGTGGAGACGAAGACAGGAGTAATGGGGTTCTGGTGGAATTGGATACGGTAGCCTCGGGTCAAAATGGACAGCACCCACTCGTCCGTGGTGATATGACGCCAGGTGTGAAGAAAAGGAGATAAATGGGTTTGAGCTGACTCAGTGGAAAGGAAGTCAAAAGCCCTGCTTGGAGGACTTCGCCTGCTTAGTGTGGGAAGATTGTTGTCCGGATCCAAACCTGGGTTTATTGGGTTTTTACCATTATAGACCTATGCTGTACATACAAACAAATTAGACAACAAGATTACACTAAAACCTGGGTTTTTGAAAGGTGGGTTTTTGGCCTCCCAAAGACGTATGTGATCTTCATTGTCTGTCAGGATTCATCATTGTCTGATGATTCGGAGTGCACTTTTGTCAGGATCTAGACCAAGTGCGAGGGCGATACTGTTGTCTCATGGAGGATGACACTCGTAGAACGCGAGAAGTCTTTATGCTCTTATCCATATCTTGGAGTATGGTATCGGTAGTGCTGTTGAAGAGACCAAGGCCATCAAAGGAGAGGTCCTCGACATAAGACCTAGTATCTTGTGGAAGGTTGGTATTACAGAGCCAGGAGTGCCTCCTTAGAGCTATTGCTGAGGCCATTGTTCTTGAGGAAGCGTCTAGGGCATGTTTGGAAGTGTTGATCTGTTGCTTCGCAAGTACCATGCCTTCCTTCTGAAGAACTCTGGCTGGCTGAAGCTTGTCTTCGGGGAGATGAGTCAGGAGTTCAGAAAACCTTTCCCACAGAGTGTACTGATATCTGCTCATGCAGGCTAAGTAATTTGTGGTTTTTACTCCCAACGCTCCCGTGGAGTAGAAGCGTCTCCCAAATGCGCCTAATTTTCTACTTTCCCTGTCAGAAGGTGCAGAGTGTGTTCGTTTTGATTTGGACGAGGATGTTACAACCATCGAGTTTGGTTGAGGGTGGGAGAATAAAAATTCGGTTCTGTTCTCCTGGACTCTATACATGTGGTCCAGGCGTCTTGTTGACACTGGGGCTGATGAAGGCTTCTCCCGTGGTGCTTTTGCAGCTTATAAAAGGACCGTGGACATAGGCAGTGCTATGGTAGTGGAGGTATCCAGTTGCACGATATCGAAGACGGCATCTGTAACCTGTGGTTGTTATTGAATGACTGAGAGGCCTAGAGAATGGGCCGTTCTTTTGACGAGATCTGCATAGGAAGTGAGATTGTCAGATGAGGACATAGGTAGATCATCTGCGACAGCTTGGTTAGGAGACTTGTGGTCAGGGGAGGTGTGAGCCTCTGAGGCCTCCATATCAGAATCCTCTTCTGCAGAATCAGAGGAGCCCTGATCTGGCATTTGAACCGGAGTGACTTCTGTTTGACTGGTTAAAATCTTTGGTGGTACGACTTGAGGGTCGGGAGGACGACTGCGTTCCGGATTATGGTGGGAAGGATCCTTGGTCGAGACAGAGATGCTGAAGGTCTAGATTTGTAGGGCGACCCTGATCTGTGGGCAGAGTGGGTCGAGTAACAATCCCAGTCAGAATAGCTCACCGGAGTCAACCACGGCATGGATGGTGGATAACCCCCATAAAGATACCTCAGTTGGCGTTGATCCCAAGACAGAGGTGGTGGTGGGGGTAGAAAGACTCGGGGGGATCGACTTCTGGATCGGGTACGTCTCGAAGACAAAGCATTAGTCTGCCTTTGAGAGTGGTCCCTGTACACTTGGTCATCGATATCGACAGGTTCAAGAAGCAGACGTGGAGGGTGACTCTGCGTGCTGCTAGAGACGTGTCAATTCCGACGTGAATCGATGTCGGGAGTCTCTGACACCGTCGATGTCGACGACGGGGAAGGAGAAGAAGAAGGCTCTGCATCCATGGGGCGACTAAGGAGCTCCACCATCTCGATATCGGAGTAAGGACGCTCGAGTTGTTGTATAGGGGAGTCTAAGAGTTGAATGGTCGGTATCGGCGGAGCGACATGGATCTCCAATGCCGATACTGCCGTAGGAGCAGGGGGCACTTTAGGGGCATCACCCAGTGCAGACACCGCTACCTTCTCCTTCTTTGCAGCCTTTAGGGACTTAGAGGAGCCCTTTTTTGCAGACTTGTGCTCCTTAGTTGACTTGGGCTAGCTTCTTCACCGGAGTGGAAGTGGAAGATTGCGCCTTTGATGCCGGTGGCTTCGACATCGGTTGGCCGATGTCGGAGGAGGGCCTCGATGCCGGAGTTGTCGATGTTGATGGTCTCTCGGAATCCATTACTGAGGGAGGATGTAACGCCGATTCAAGTAGCGCCACTTTAAGGCGCGCAGCTCGATTTTTTTTGGTCTGGTTTGAAAACCTAGCACAGTGCTGACAAGACTCCGGTCGGTGAGACTTTCCCAAACAAAAAATACAGAGGGTGTGGCGGTCCGGTGGAGCGAGTTTACTGCCGCAACCCTTGCAGTGGTTGAAAAAGCCCAACTTCTTCTCCATAAAATTTAAAAAACGGAGAAGAAAGAAGGGGTTGGGGAGGCGGGAAGCCCGAAGGCAAAACTGAGGTAAAGCAGCAACTTCCCCCTCAACAGAAAAACAATTTTTTTTGAAGAACAAACAAAGAAAGACTAAGAAAAAAGAAGAAAACTGAGGAAAAAATCCAAAGAGCCGTGAGGCAAATAGTCAAGGAAGAACCAATCAGACCGACGAAGAAAAGGTCTTTCCAACGCAGCGGTAAGAAAGGAACTGGCGGGATGTCCACGCCCACCCCTCTGGCATGCGTGGTGAGTTCCTGCGCATGCCCGAGGTCTGGCCGTGAAAATCCGTTAAGAGCTTGCTACAATGTCAATCGATCCAGCACTTGCGCACTCTGTGAAGCACAGAGACCTTGTCGAAGATCTGTAGCTTTTTTTGGCACCACTAGGTGGCAAACGATGCTTAATTTTTTAGGCTGTGACTTGCCTAAGGTCACCCATCTAATTTTAAGTGGGGAAGTGATGAATCGAATCGGTTCTGATTTCTGTATTTCAAGACCAAAAAAAAAAAGTATTTCTTTAAGAACTAACATAAAGTTAGCAAGCAACTGTACCTTTAAAATCTCATGTCTGCATTTCTACTTAAGAAACAGTAAGAGAGTATATCACTAAGAGCTTTGGAAAGACATTAAAAAGATGTTGCGTTGATCCACATTCTCATTCCTACAGTGGTGTTTGTTCTCTTCCTCTAGGGGAAATGAAGGTCATTTGTTTCTGTATCGACATAAGGCACGCTGTGTTTTTTAAAACAGCTCCTTCAAGAGATTGGTGATGAACAACAACAGAGAGATAGAGTTGATAAAGATATCCAACACCGCTTGTTAATCCTAGGAAAGTGTGTTCTCTTTATCTCCTGTATTCCTTGGATCCACACGTTTTTAAACAAAGGAGTAATAAATGCTATTTAGGAGCTTGAAAAACAAAGATTTTTTAGCCTGCTTTTCCACTTCAAAGCTCTATCAAGAGGCCTTGAAGAGAAAACATTCCAGGGACAGAGCCAGAACAGTGTCAAGAATATTTGCATCAAGATTTTGTATGGTACTCAAATAATTATCTACTGGCTTTACCTATGTTTATGGCATGTACTTGACATAAGGATAATTGTTGTGTAAAAAAAGAAATTTGCATTATAAATATTATAAAAAGTACAACCAAGTGTGTTAAAGTCATAGAACAGTGGTATTCTTCAGTGAGCTTATTTTATTTTTCACATTCACTAGGAAGGCTTAGTCAAGCCACGTTCTCTCAGATTCTGGGCAAAACACTGGGCTACTTTACAGGGCTGCTGTTAGGATTATTGTTACTATTTATGTAGGGTGCTTTTGAACACTGAAAGAACTATGCAAATATTACCTTTGTGTGAAATCCTAACATTAATGCTACTATAGTTCCTGGAGATATTTTTAGCAGAAAGAATTAGGGTGGAAATAACTCAATTAGATAACTCATCTACTTTTTGTTTTTGTCATTTATGGATATT